ATCAGAAAAATACAGTAACACCTCCCTACCTGTGATAGGTCGCCTCATGCTGCGACTAGTGAATCAGAAAACTGGTTCTATGGCAGCAGGGATTACCTGCCTGCCTGCCAGCTACCAGCAAATATAATTGGAGGGTTTTAGAATCCCCTCTGCCTTTTGTTATGCAGGTGAAATCCCTGAGCTCCAGGAGGCCTTAAGGCCTAGGCTTGCAATGGCATGCATACAAGCCTGGCTTCGGTCTACAGTGCCTGCATACATAACAGGCATGTCCCTGACCTCCCATACAATGCTGTCCTGATGCAGCATGTCAAACTTGAATTGGGCTACCTAACTGCCAGGAGTTATTATTCTGTTTATGAAGGGTGTGGAAAGAGGCCTTGTGTGTTGCCAGGTTTTCCAGCGAGAGTGCCATGTGCATCCTTAGCCAATTGAAATCCCTTGCGAGACCCCTTTCAGATCAAGCTGATTCACTGAATTTGAAGGGTCAGAATTTGCACTCGGGGTCAGCCCACCTGTGAGGCGAGGTGAGACAGTCAGCTCAGGCAGCAGAGTTGGCCTCCTCAAGCCTGGCCACCCTCCTCTGCATGCTTGTGTAAAAGGCCCGAGGTAAGGAAGACAAAACCTCTCTTGTTTATTTTTCTTCATAGTGTACCCTGCTTTTGTTCAATATCCACAGAAAAAAATGTTGTCAGGATTCCGTTTCCTGTTATTTAAGTCGTTTTGCCAGCACTTATATGCCTTGGCACCTCTTCATATTAGAGGGTGGCAGCTGTGGCGGAGCAAACCACAGATCTTGTAGGCACGGCCAGTTCCTCCACAAACATTTGACTTTGTGTGCCAGGCTGAACCCCTCAAGACGGCTCATGTGTACTTGTGGTAAAGCTGCTCCGAGGCCTTGGGCAACAATTTCCCCTCAGTTCTGTTTCCTCCCATGCATAAATAAATAAATATGCTGTAACTTTGTGCATAGGCCTTACGGGAGAAAGCAGTCTCTGTGACAGTTGTGGAATTCTTCCCTCACAGACATGTGTCCGTCACCTTCATTGCAGCTTCTGGTGAATGCTACTAATGCCCCTTTCCCCTGGCTTTTGACATCTGAGGTGCCTATTTTTACGACCCACCATATTTCTGTGATTGTAAGTTTTATAGTGTTTTAAATAATGCTTTAATTGTTGTAACCTACCGTGGGACCTTAGAATGAAGGGTGGGTAATTAATAGTAGTAATAGTAATAGTAATAGTAATAATAGTAATGACTCTTGTCTCCTCATACTACTTCAGATCAAGCCTTTTACTCACTCTAAACTCCATATCTGGGTCCCCAACTGTTGTTTTTCTTCCTCTTCCTGTTATTTTCTCTCAGCTGTTTCATCTCTGCCTGTGCTATATATGACTCAGTACACAAGAGAGTCATCTGTCTCCTTTCATCCTTAAAAATGAGCACTCTGCTTTCTAATGGAAGCCTGCCATCCTCTTTCTCCATTTTTGTTGTTGTTGCTAGCCTGAGGACATCAAAGGCACTAGGAAATGCTTAGCTTTTCAAAAGAAACATACTTCCACTAATCAATCAGGAACCATTTCAAGACCCCCCTCTCCCATGCATTGAAAGGCCAAAATTAATCTCGGGGGGGGGGGGAGCGTTATGCGGGAAATGGACAAACATTAAGGTGCTGATGACAACATGCATATTGTACATGAATAGTTGACATATTTGTTTTGTTTATGGCAGGTGGGGTGGGGGTGGGGAATGCCCTTACTTTAACTTTTCCTGTTTTGTTGAATGCAAACATCAACATTAGCATCAGGTCTTGAAGTTTACAGTAGCAGATCCTCAGAGACTTGACCTGACCAGCGGACCAGCACCACCTCAGGATGCATCCACTGTGGCAAACCAATTAACAAATAATTAGAATTAGTTCCTTGGTATTTAAGGGTTTTCTAAAGCAACCTTGAGGTACTTTAGAGAAAAGAGAAGTTAAGGGTTTGTGCTAAATTTTTTAGAAGAGGCACCTGCATAAAATGCCATATAATTAACACACACTTCCTTTAAGAAAAATCAAATCTGTCTTTGCATAGCTATGAATCTGTTCAAAAAGATCTGCAGTTATTTAAGTAAAGCGATTAAAAAAAAAAGGCACGCAAGAGCTTTCTCTCTTTGTCTCAGTTTAAATCATTATCTTCATGGAGATATTAAAGTAATTCTTTTAAAAGGCACTTTTACAGAAGAGGCTTTTTCTGTGACCATTACCTTGTAACGTCTTGACAAATGAGCTTTTGTTTTATACTTAATACATGATTAATATGAAATGACCTTTTCGCTCATCAGGCAAGAAATTGTCTTCCCTGTTGTTCCAGAATGTTAATAGTAGCAATGATGTCTTTTCATTTGACATTTTACCTAATGCATTATACAGAACACACTTTACAGACACACACCCCTCCAAAGCAATCCAGGAAAAAGTTAACGGTGAGAAGGAAAGATTACTTATGAATATGCTTCAGTAATTTTAAGCAGTGTCAGTAAATCAGGTATGGAGAAGCTTTGGTCTGCCACATGTTGCTGAACTGCAACACCCATCATCCCCAGCCATTGGCCATGCTTGCAGGGGTTGATGGGAGATGTAGTTCAGCTGTAAGTAATTTGGAACTGGGTATCAATAAGTTGGGTCCAATAATTAAATTTACAGTTAATCACTAGAGCCTTATTTCGGCTGACTGGCACATCTTGAAAAATAGTTTTATAGACAGTTCCACAAAATGGCTGCCATGAACATATGGCTAGTGAGAAGTATTTTTGGGATGCGTATGTGTATGCTCAGGTAAAAAATGTCAAATGGGAAGGAATCTTAACTCAAGAAACAGATAACACATTTTACAGCCATTGCCATTTATTATTACAGACATTTCTATGCCATCCTTCAAGAGAAATTCCCAGGGCAGTTTATATAATCATGGCTCAAATGTAACTTGAGGGTACATGGGACAATTTCCTCTGTTTGATTACTCTGATTGGTGTATCTTAGAACAAGGATGGAAAAACTGGCTCTCCAAATGTTACTAATGGGTCCCATCATCCCTAACTATTAGCCTTGCTGACTGGGCCTGATAAAATTTTGTTTATTTAACACTATTTATTTATTTCAGACATTTATACTCTGCCTTTTAGCCAAAAAGCCTTTCAGAGCAGCTTACAAAACTCCGTACTAAGGTGGTTCCAGTTTTCAGCTCATAATCTGAAAAGGGGGCACACAAGGAAAAAGAAATGGGAGGAAAAAGGGAAAAGTAAGCTCAAGCACAAGTTCTTATAGACAATAGTCAGACGTGGGGTTTCTTGCATTAGTTTCCCTGGTTATAATGCTAGCACTTATAGATGTCCTGATTTCTAATGCACCTTTTACATTGCAATACCAGTTGTGTTATGGAACTGGCTTTTCTATCGCTGTATCGCCATGTTATGCTAAATTTTCAGTGGCAGGACAGTAATAATAATAATAAAAATAAAATTTGTTATTTGTACCCCGCCCATTTGGCTGGGTTTCCCCACCCATTCTGGGTGGCTCACAATAGAATATTAAGAACATGATAAGACATCAAACATTAAAAACTTCTCTAAACAGGGAAATTATAATGTGAATTTACAATGTGAAATTCCAGTGATTTTCCAAGTTCATGGGTTGCAAATGAATCCCTACCACACCACGGAATATACACATAAATGAGTGTCAAATTTCCACTAGATACATAGAAGTAGCTTTTTACATCTCATGAAAGAACACATAAAATGTCAAAGTTATCAGGTCAGGAAATGTTGGGAAAACAGAGCTATATAATTCTGCCTGTACAGCAAGTTCTCACTAGTGTCAATTCCCAGAAGCACTATTGCTTTCCCACTCAGATCCAGGATCAAAGCAGGTGACAGTGTCCAGGCCAAGATGACAGGGCAGCTCCTGCCCCACTTATAAGATGATTCCCACAGACAGTCTGTGCACCACCCATAGCTACTTATAATGTGTCAATAGGTGCCAACAAATTCTCAACTAGTTCAAAGATGCCTGCAGGATCCCTGATAGGAAATCTCTTGCCAGGCTCTTTAAACTGGAAAATAACTTGCCACATTTATGGGAATTATTCAGGTCATAGAAACTGACTGAGGTTAGTCACAATGCTGCTGTTGTTGCTGCAGCTCTTGCAAAGTTGTCCATCTTTCGCTCTGAGAAGGAAAAAAAGAGTCTGTAGGTCCTCCGCCATCCCCCTATTTCACACACCTCTTCATTTACTTGTGTCAATGGAGGGAACGCAAGCCCTCATCTTCCTTCCTACTTCCAACACCTAATGTGCGTCCACACCAACAACAGAAAAGGGGGAAAGGAGAGAGACAGCTGCCAGGAGAAGGGAGAGGGAAATGGAAGCCAAATGTGCAGTGTCCCTTAAATGCACAACCTAAAGGTCTTCCTAGGCTTTGCAGTCTTAGGAAGGTATCAGAAAAAAAAGAGTGCTCATGGAAGAAGAAGAAGAAGAGGCTGCCCAGGAAGGATGTCATTTGAATTGGAAATGCCCCTTAAGGGCAGCTCTTCCACTGAGATGGAGATAGCAGAGCCACGCTGAATCATCTCTCACAAATCACAACAGCCTTCCTGGGCAGAGTGAGAGTCAACAACATCTAGAGGGCCACAGGTTCCCCATCCCTGTCTTAGAATTCTCCGCTCAGAGTTGTTCTTAATGTGAATACAGATACAATATAAAAAAGAAGACGCCCAGCGTGTTCTTCAGTCAAGCTGTGATGCTGCCTTCAAACAGGGTTATCAGACCAGTTGCAGAATTTTATGTTAACTTTTCCCACCCAGTGGAAAGCAGTAGGAGCAAGATACCAGGAGGTCACAACTGGTTGATGTGAACCAGTTTTTGATATGTTGGTCTGACAGGTCACTTGTGCAGAAGGCTTAGAGCGCATCTGAAGAAGACTCAAAACCTTTCTTTCTTTCTTTCTTTCTTTCTTTCCTTCCAGTGTGGAGAGCCAGTGTGGTGTAGTGGTTAAGAGTGGTAGTCTCGTAATCTGGGGAACCGGGTTCGCGTCTCCGCTCCTCCACATGCAGCTTCTGGGTGACCTTGGGCTAGTCACACTTCTCTGAAGTCTCTCAGCCCCACTCACCTCACAGAGTGTTTGTTGTGGGGGAGGAAGGGAAAGGAGATTGTTAGCCGCTTTGAGACTCCTTCGGGTAGTGATAAAGCAGGATATCAAATCCAAACTCTTCTTTCTTTCTTTCTTTCTTTCTTTCTTTCTTTCTTTCTTTTTCTCCCTCTCCCTCTCCCTCTCCCTTTCCCTCTTTTAGAAGATTCCCTTTGGAGTGAAATTGATTGGACAAAAAAAGCTGTTTACAACCCAGTCTATTCAATTTTACCACTCTATTAGTTTGTGTGGGATAAGAGGAAGTAGCTATAATGAGGAAAACAGACTGAACTGGCCATTCCTCTGCAGTGCAGCAAGGTTTCCCCATGCCATTACATTTGTGCAGTTATCAAACTACCAATGGTGGAGCTGAGCTAGTGCTCTTGTTGCTCTACCGACATAATAATCTGTATACAGCCTTAGGTTAATAGAATTGTGTCCATTTTGTGATGCGAGAGCAGAAAAGAGAGGCTTGCAGTGGAACAAAAAATGAGATCGGAATCTTTCACCAGGCCTGCTTGCCTCAGCACAATGCTACATTATTTAATGCAGTGGCACACAAGGCCAGCCTCAGGTGATTAGTAATGGCTCTGCTGCTGCTGTTTAAAATCAGTACATGCAAATTCTGGAACCACATATAAGTGTTTGAAAGGTCTTACACTTGCAAAACCTTTAATGAGTTCAGTTTGCCAGTATCACACTCTAAATATGGAAATCCTATAGTTCTGCTACGCTGGGCAGCTCTTCTGGCAAGGCTAATGCTAGCACAAATGTAGTCAACAATCCTAATCTCAAGCAGAGGTGACCATAATTTCTTGTACAGCAATGAAATGGACATACCTTATAGCATTCCAGGCCATTCTGCTGCCACCATTCATCATCAGCCTCTGCATTTGGCCACAAAGAAGGTACCAATTAAACCCCAATGTCCTCACCCAAACAAGAACACTAGGACATCCAGAATGTGACTACACCACCCAGTCCAGTCCAGTCCATCATGATGTAATGGACAGGCACAGAGAAGTTGTCCTAAACTCCAGATGTCCTTGAACATGGTTTTGTATTGGAACATGAAATGCCCAGATTGTTTGTGTGGGAGGAGGGGAAAGTTACGGCTATTTAAAGTGGTGCGGTACTGCTTTAAATGTATAGGGCAGATGTGAAATAAGTAAATGGCTTGCTTCAAAAGTGTGAACATTTTTGCTTATAAATACTGTTTTATCCTTGCCTTAGAGCTTTTCAATGTGCTGCACAGGGGGGAATCCATATTCACTCTGATAATCAAAGAGGACTTGTTTTCACACAAGTCCCCTTTGAGTTCATGCTTATGTGTGAATTAGTCATTTAAAGATAATTCTGTGCATCCCCAGAGGTGTATCTCTCACTGCCTGGGAAGAAGATTGTTTCAATCTTTATGGGCTTATGTCCACAGAGTATTTCAAAGACAAAGAATAAATTAATAATTTAACAATCAGTGCAGCATTAAGGGAGACTATTGCAGCACCACTGAGGTCTCTGATGGAGTATCTTCAATGCCGCTTGAGTCTTCACTAGTCATTGTAAACCACTGATTTCCATTTTCCTTTCTCTTTGTTTCTCAACCCCACGCCACCCTTTCTCTGCCTAGTACATATCATTATAAGCCTCTTTTAAGTATTAGTCAGGACAAATCCTCACTTAATAAATGAAGATATGTGAAGTTGCACACAGTGCCATTGCGCCACCCTTTGTGCAAACAGAGATACAAATCAGGAAGCCTTGTTAGTTGTCACTTCCTACTATGTGCAAACCGGGAGCTATGGTTAATGCCTTCCAAACAAATCAACATGTACTTGTTACAACATACCGACATTATGCCAGAACCCATATGCGTTCCCTGGGGTGAAGCATGAATCTCAAGTCAGTCATGGGAGATATTGCCATTCCCATGGCAATGAATCAAAATGGAGCTGTAGGCTTCAAGAAACCTTTCCCAGAGTGGTTGCTTTGGAAGACAGAGAAATGGACTCAGAAGCATGGGACCAAAGGGGGCATGTGTGGTCTTGGAACTTAGTTGTTTTCTCTCCCTGCAATTGCTTCAAGTTTAAAGCAACCGTTGGGAATAGACAACCCATCAAAGGGTGTGCTGTTTCTAAACCCCAGCAAAAACACTTTGAAGGCTTGAGTCAGGACTGGAGCTTCTGCAATGTGTTCTGATAGGAAAGAGACTTATTAAGGATGGTGTAGGAGTGCATTTCTTAGATCAGCCTTCCCCAACCTGGCACCTTCCAGTTGCTTTGGACTATAACTCCCATCAGCCCTAGCCAGCATAGCCAATGTTCAGGGATGATGGAAGCTGTAGCACATATCTTTTTTTTTTTAAGTAATATTTATTAAGATTTGAAAGGTTACAAAAATAAAAAATAAAAAAAAGCATACTAAGCAAAAACAGAACATCACATCACAATAAAGAAAAAAAAGAAAAAAGAAAAAAGAAAGAAAAAAATACAATGAATCTTCCCATAACTTATCTTTCATTTGCTTGTTTCCTTGACCTCCTCACACCTCCCTTTTTTGTATTCTAGTTCAATTAGCTATTTCAGCAAGTCCTTTCCATCTTTTCCAGTTTTTGTCCTCTATTTTATCTTAATATAATGTTACTTTACTTTCCCTCCTTTCACCATTTAACAATCTGTTTTTTTTCTTAATCCTTTACGGTATCTCTGCTAAAACCACATTACTTCATTCCAACATCCTTCTAACATTCCTTAATTTTACAATGTTTCTGTAAGTAAACTTAAAATTTCTTCCAATCTTCTTCCACGAACTCTTCTCCCTGGTCTCGGATTCTGCCAGTCATTTCCGCCAGTTCCATGTAGTCTATCACCTTCATCTGCCATTCTTCCCGGGTGGGTAGATCTTGTGTCTTCCAATACTTCGCGATGAGTATTCTTGCTGCTGTTGTGGCATACATAAAGAAAGTTCTGTCCTTTTTTGGCACCAATTGGCCGACCATGCCCAGGAGAAAGGCCTCTGGTTTCTTCAGGAAGGTATATTTAAATACCTTTTGCATTTCATTATAAATCATCTCCCAGAATGTCTTAATCCTTGGGCATGTCCACCAAAGGTGAAAAAATGTACCTTCAGTCTCTTTACATTTCCAACATTTATTATCGGGCAAGTGATATATTTTTGCAAGCTTGACTGGTGTCATGTACCACCTGTAGATCATTTTCATTATATTCTCTCTTAGGGCATTACATGCCGTAAACTTCATACCTGTGGTCCATAACTGTTCCCAGTCAGCCATCATAATATTATGTCCTACATCTTGTGCCCATTTAATCATAGTTGATTTCACCGTTTCATCCTGAGTATTCCATTTCAACAGCAAGTTGTACATTCTTGACAAGTTCTTAATTTTGGGATCTAACAGTTCTGTTTCCAATTTTGATTTTTCCACCTGGAAGCCAATTTTTTTATCCAAATTGTACGCCTCCATTATTTGATAATAATGGAGCCAGTCTCACACTCTATTTTTTAATTTTTCAAAACTCTGCAGTTTTAATCTGTCTCCCTCTTGTTCCAAAATTTCCCAATATTTTGGCCAATTGTAGCACATGATATCTTAAGGGACTCAGGCTGGGAAAGGCTGAACTAGATGATTTTCAGGATGAAAATGATTCTAGAATGCTAAGAAAGTTCCTAGAGGCATGAAGGAAGGCAGTATATGCAACCTGCATATGGAAGTGGTTTGGAGATAGGCAGGTGTCAATCAGACTCCACCTTTTCCTGATGGAAAAAATGAGGTTTCTCGCAATGGTAGAGCAGCAGAGATCCTATTCTGCCAATCTCCCACATCAGTCCCTTCGAATGTCCAACACTTCAGTTTGGGGGAGCCCTGCTGGGTGCTTACTTTAATGTCCTTTTGGTATCAAGCAAAGGTATTTTTATTTCCACAGAACTTAAATCTTGATGTAGCCTTTCATGCAGCATTGAATTTTACAGTGTAATCCTGTTTACTCAGAAGGAAGTCTCATTGAACTTAGTGGATCTTACTTCCCAGTACATGTGCTTGCAATTGCAGGCTTATTTGCATTTCTCTTTTAATTGCTTTTTTTTCTAACTCAGTGGGTTGTATTCTGAAAACAACATTGAGAACTGTTTTTAGAAGACAGCCTATATAGTAGTAATATTGGCTATTCAACTAATAATTCAGCTAATAATTACATGAGCAGAGCAACTTGGGCTTGTGTAATGGGACTTTTCTTCCTTGTCCCTCACTCCACTATACCTCTTGCACCATCCCGAAATCTACTCTGAAAGTTTGCGGGCATCCCTAGAAGAGATTTAGTGGGTGAGCAGGAGGAAAGTCTCATTGCACATGTGGAAATCCACTTGTGCACAGAGCTCTTTAGTGCTATCTTGAATACAACCATCAATCAATCCCCATCCATCCCTACCCACCCCTCTATCCCAGTTTAGACCCTTGGAATGACTGCATATGGACATGCCATTACAAATATTGATAGCAATAATGTAGGCTGTAAGCTCTCTAGTAGGGACAGCATCCTCTGTGCCCTGGAGATTGTGCCAAGGACCACAGCTGGCTAGCCATTTATTTGTGTTGCCATTTACATTCATTTTCCAGGAAGGGTAGGCTAAACAGATAATCACAGGTTAAAGGCTAAGAGAACTGCTGTAGTTTTTGTCTGATCCTTGGAGTGTCTCAGCTGCAGAAAAAGAGCCCTGGGCTTTCAAAGCAATGTCTCTAAATTATTAACTAGAAATTGCATTAAGCCATACCCAAAGTTTGCACAAATTTGTGGAAAAGAGCCATCGAAATGCCATTTAGTGTAGTTGCCCCAGATGGGCTTCTGGCATTTTCAAAAGAAACACTGTTATTTCTTTCCAGTTACCCCCGACCATCTGCATTTCTACAGGGTTGTTTTAAATAACTTTCCTTGATAGTATACCTGACTTTGAGCCCACCATAAGATTCAACATAATTTTTAGTTATTGAGGTTTTGATATTGCATGCATCTCTGTTGAATTGCACTCTGTGCGACAGAAGGCTCAAGCACCCATATTTTCTATAATTAGATGTATATGCTAGACCAGCAGCTTTTTAAAATGTGAAGGAAAAAGATTGGATGGTCTTTTTTTAAAGACTTCATGGAGGATATGTCTGTGTTATTCCTCTGCTGTTGGAGGCAGCATGCTTCCATTTAACTACTGCTGGGAATTGTAAGTTGGGAGAGTGCTGTTGTACTCAGATCCTGCTTATGCAAAACTGGGACATCCCAGTTTTTCCCGCAAGAGCATGGTGGCCATTTTGGGCACTATGATTGCATGCAGGTCACGTGACTTGCAAGGAAGCATGGCCAGGAAGATGCACCTCCTGGTTTGGGGATTCAACATGTTGGAGGATATGACTTTGGGCTTCCCATGGGCATCTGGTTGGTCACTGTGAGAACAGGATTCTGGACTAGATGAGCCTTTGGCCTATTGCAGCAGGGCTCTTCTAATGTTCTTATATTTTGTAAGCCAACTGGAGAAGTTCCATTATAAGAACTGTAAAAGTGGGATAACATTTTTAAAGCCAGCAAAGGTAAAAGAAATATAAACACACACAATATGTTTCTTGTTGCTTTTCTGCATAAACATTATAAAAGTTAAAAAGTGCATAAAATAATGCTCTGCTGAAAGACGCCATACTTTCTTAAAAAGCTCCTTGAAAGTTTTTGCTGTGGCTGTGCCAAGATTTGAACTGGCTGTTTTTTTGAAGTTTTTTTATCTTATATATAAAAAAGAAAATTGATAAATGTAGTGTCAGAACCAAAGCTGCAATGGGGACCCAATCCCAGGTGGAAATTGGTTTGCAGAATTGGAAAAATATGAGAGGAGGAAAGAAAGGCTGGCAGGGGGAAAAAATGATGATAAAAGAAGAGAGTGGAAGTGAATAAGAGAAAGCAAATAAAGGAGTGTATAAAACCTCATAATTTATTATTGCTCTGCCAAAGGAGGCTGAAATGTATGACATAAACGTAAAAGAAGAAAACAAATCTCCTTTGCCTTTGCTGGGAGAAAAGTTTAATGGGCAGCATTCCTCAGAATGGCTCTTCTGAGTGCCCTGCACAGCAATATATATATAAAAAATTCGAACCATCGTAACCATGGGAGTAAATAGAGAAGTGGTAATACATAAGGCAATAACATGCTGGGAGTCTCCAGTCTTGCACTACTGTAATCATTTAACAATATTAGAGCTGGTCTTTGAGCAGCAACTGACTTGTATATTTCATGTTGTGCATGTGGTCTGTGTATCATTTCACCCCTGCATCTGACAACGCCAAGCCCCAATAGGTGGGGTGCAACATGATGGGATGTGTGTGTGTGTATCAGGAAGTAATTTTCTGTATGAAATTTGCAAACCATACAGACACAGTTCAAAGCATACATGGATCCCTTACCTGCAGTGTCCACACAGTGTGAGAAGCAGTGCCCAAGCTACCAAGTCGACACTGTTTCCCGTCCACACCATCCTGCAAGATTTAGATCTTCCCTAGGCAAGTTCCACCTATTATTTATTTATTTTGGAGGTGTTCCAATCATGGAAATTGCATTGGGATTGAATCTGAGGAACACAATGTTATTTAATATATACCTTTCCTCACACACTGTCTGTCCTTGTGGAGGTCAGGTGTGATCATATAAAGGTCATTTGCTTATATGATCAGATGCAAATTCCTAATCTGAGCACTTGTTGTTCAGATTTATTAGTAGAAAGAAGAGCTACCAATGCTACATATGTAGAGATTGATTTATGGTTTCTATCTTGTGCTTCTACCATTGAAGGCAGTAGATGTGGGGTTTCCCAAGAGCCAAGCCCAATTAGCTCCAGCAAGGTTGCTTCGTCATAGGTCTTCGGATCACATGCTGGGGTTATCTTAATTTGAGAAAAATCGCACATCAGAAAAGGACTTGGCATACACTAATCCAACAATATTAATCTCTCATAGATTAATTTGTTTACTTGAGATTATAGTATGTAACAAACTGAGAAATGGTTCTATATTTGATAAGTACCTGTGTTAGGAATGAAGAAACCACAGCTCTCCACAGGGCTTTTTTCCAGCCAGAATTCACCGAAACTCAGTTCCAGCATCTTTCAGGTGGGCTCCATTGCCATCATAAGAGAACAAGGGAGGCATTCATGGTGAGTTCCAGCACCTCTTTTTCTAGAAAAAATAGCACGGGCTTTCCAGATGTTGTCGTACTCCAACTCCAATCAGCCCAACCAGAATGGCAAATAAGCAGGAACTATGGGAGTTGTAGAACTACAACTTCTGAAGTGGCAC